TTCCATGGTAGATCTAGCTATAACGGTTTGTTTAGAGAATTTCCAGGATATAGCTACACCTCCCAATGTGAACACAAATCCACTAGTGGATTCGGAGTCTTTTATATTAGATATCCAATTTGCATCACTATATCCTTCAATGACTACTGGATATCTGGTATAGTACAATCCAAAATTGCGAGTATATCTTAAGTACGTAAGTACTTTTACTATTCCTTTCCAGTGGTCAGCTCCTGGATTACTTGTGTATCTGCTCAATTCACTAACTGTGTATGCTATGTCCGGTCTTGTACAACTCATCAAGTACACCACACTTCCAATAATTCTAGAATATTCTACTTGAGAGACACTCTCACCTTTGTTTTTAGATAGATACTGACTCGTATCTATCGATTTTCTAGCCATTCCAGTGTCATTCTTGCTGAACTTTTCTAAAATTTTGTCCACATAATGTGACTGGCTTAGAACGAGTCCATCTGATGTTCTGCTAATTTTAATTCCAAGTATGACATCAGCTAAACCCATATCTTTAATGTCAAACCTTGAATTTAACATATTTTTGGTGGATTTAATCATCTTATCGTTGTCATCAACAATAAGCATGTCGTCAATGTAAAGACATAAAATGGCATAACCACTTTCGCTGTCTTTGATGTAGACACATTTGTCATACACGTTAATCTTAAATCCACATTCCATCATAACATTGTCAAATTTTTCGTGCCATTGTTTTGGAGCTTGTTTCAACCCATACAATGATTTCATCAATTTACAGACTTTATTTTCCTATCTTGGTGATGAAAAACCCTCGGGTTATTCCATGTAGATTTCCTCCTCTAAATCTCCATTTAGAAAAGTAGTTTTAACATCTATTTGATATACTTTAAGATTTTGCAGAGCAGGAATCGCAAGTATCATTCTAATAGATATTATTCTCGTTACTAGAGAATATGTATCAAAGTGATTAAGGCCTTATCGTTGTCTGTAACCTTGTATTACTAATCTAGCCTTATACTTTTCGATTGTTCCATCTGCTTTCATTTTTCTTTTGAAAATCCATTTGTAGCCTAGTGATTTACTTCTTGGAGGAAGATCTACAAGCTCCCATGTATGATTTTACAAAATGAAATCTATTTCACTTTTAATGAATTCTTTCTACTGAGGTTCTTCTGAAGAGTTCATAGCTTCTTGAAAGCTCTGAGGGTTACTTTCTAACATATAAGTCAGGAAATCAGGACCATAAGATTTTTCTGTCCTTTCCCTTTTGCTACGTCTTGGTCCAAACTCGACCGCTTCTTCTAATTTTCGATCCTGACTATTTTCAACCATAGTCTCATATGTTTGTTTAGAAGATCTTGCTTCCTCTTTGGATTGTACGGATACATGTTCAAAGAATGAATCATTTTTCGATTTCATTATCGTATTTTTGTGTATATCTGGATTTTAGATTTATACACAAGAAATTGATAAGCACTACTATTATGTGCATAGCCAATGAAGATGCAATCTACAGTTTTCGGGTCTATATTTACCTTCTTAGGTGTTGGAACAACCACTTTAGTAAGACACCCTCGCACTCGTAAATATTTATAGGAAGTCTTTCTTCATTTCCATAACTCATAAGCGGTCTTTTCCATTTTCTTTCGGGGCACCTTATTTAAAAAGTAATTTGCTGATAGCACAGCTTCTCCCCACATGTTCTGAGATAACCCAGAAGTTACCAACATTACATTCATCATTTCTTTTTAAGGTACGATTTTTCCTTTCAACAACACCATTTTGTTGAGGTGAATAAGGTGCAGTGGTTTCATGTCTTTCGGGGTACCTTATTTAAAAGGTAATTTGCTGATAACACAGCCTCCCCCCACATGTTCTGAGGTAACCCAGAATTTACCAACATTGCATTCATCATTTCTTTTAAGGTATGATTTTTCCATACAGCAACACCATTTTATTACGGTGAATAAGGTGCGGTGGTTTTATGTATAATTCCGTGTTGTATACAGAATTCAGCAAATTGTGCTTCATACTTATCAGCTCGATCATTTTTCAGCACCTTAATTTTATGAGTTGATTTTCAACTTCATTCTTATAGAGTATAATTTCTCTATAGTTTCGTTCTTATTTTTAAGTAGATACACATAACAGTATTTTGTGCTATCGTCGACAAAAGTAATGAAGTACTTGTTGCCACCTCTTATTTGTACAAGTTTTAAATCACATACGTCGCTGTGAATTAAATCAAGCGGTCATGTATTCCGTTCAATTGATTTAAAGGATGACCTTTTCGATTTTGTTGAATTGAATCCAATTATTATTCCAGTTCCTAATATATAGGAGAGAGATATACCTCAACCAGCTGAAATTGTTAATGAAGAACTTGGGCACCATGAAGAACTTGGGGTTCCTCCACCAACGACGATTGAATCAGTTCCTAAGCTACAGGTTATAGAGATCGCAGAGGGAATTAAGTTCTGCATTGCCCAGTGACTATATTACATATTTTTTGGAGAGTGATTTTAATGTTGGGCATATTTTTGACCCTATTACTTTTAATCAAGCATTGACAAGTCTTGAGTCACATAAATGGATAAATACTATGGAAGATGAAATGAATTCTATGGAACAGAATAAAGTTTGTGAACTTGTTGAACTTCTTCAAGATGCTAAAGCCATAGATAACAAGTGGACCATCAAAAGCAAATTGAACTTAAAAGGGAATGTTGAACGAAAGAAGGCAAGATTGATTGCAATAGGGTTCACTCAACGAGAGGACATTGATTATAATGAATTTTTTTCACCTGTTTCGTCGAAAGATTCTACTTGAATTATCATGGCACTTGTGGCACATTATAATTTGAAACTTCATCATATGGATGTTAAGACGACTTTTCTGAATGGAGATTTTTTGGAAAGGGATTACATGAGATAACCTGAAGGTTTTGTTGTGAATGAAAAGGAAAACTAGGTATGTAAGTTGAATAAATCCTTATATGACCTCAAGCAGGTATCGTGGCAGTGGTATTTGAAGTTTGACGAGGTTGTGACTTCTCTTGGTTTTGTTGAAAATACAGTCGATCAATGTATTTATCTTAAAATTAGTGGGAGAAATTTTATTTATCTTGTCCTATATGTTGATGACATTTTACTTGCTAGCAGTGATTTGGAGTTACTTCATGAGACAAAAAAAATGTTATCTGCTAATTTTGAGATGAAAGATCTTGGAGAAGCTACTTATGTACTTGGCATTGAAATACATCGTGATAGAAATCATGGCGTGTTGGGACTTTCTCAGAAGGCTTATATACGACGTGTTTTAGAAAGGTTCAATATGCAGAATTATACATCTGGTGATGTACTTATCAAAAAGGGGATAAGTTTAATAAAGCTCAATGGCCAAGGAATGAGCTAGGAAGAGAATCTATGAAGGTGATACCATATGCTAGTACTATGGGGAGTTTGATGTATGCTCAAGTTTGCACTAGACCGAATATTTCTTATGCAGTCAGTGTTTTCAGTTGAATCCAGGGCAAGAGCATTGGAAAACGGCTAAGAATGTGATGAGATACTTAAAGAAAACTAAAAGTTACATGCTCACCTTCCAACATTCAAATCATCTTGAGGTAGTAGGCTACTCAGATTCTAATTAAGCTGGATATCAAGATGATTTGAAATCAACCTCATGTTATATTTTCATGTTGGCAGGAGGTGCTATCTCCTGGAAAGGTGTTAAGCAGACTCTAGTGGCATCTTCTACAATGCAGATTGAATTTGGGCATGTTATGGAGTTACAATTCAAGCCGTTTGGTTAAAGAACTTTATTTTTGAGCTGAAAGTTGTTGACTTCATCTCAAGGTCAATCACTATTTATTGTGATAATAACACAACAATGTTCTTTTCAAGAAATAATGAAAGTTCCAGTGGATAGAAACACTTTGACATCAAATATTTGGTGGTCAGAGATAGAATTAAGGAAGGATAAACGAAAATAGAGCATATTAATATAGAGGCAATGATTGCAGATCCTTTAACTAAGAGACTCGCTCCTAAAGTTTTTAAGACACATGTTACTAATATAGGTATTGCGGAAACTTTTAATATTTTTGGTTAGTGGGAGTTATTTACTTAAGAGGTCTACGTTTTGGCTTGCTCCCTTCACAGGGTACGTAAGCAACTCATATGTTCTTCGGGTACAGCCTCTTCTAATGATAATATANTACAGCCCCTTCCAATAATAAAATATATTTTTCCCTATCCATAAATTATTTTGAGCATACATTTGACTTATGTCTTTTATTTTGATATCGAGATATGACATGTTGTGTAAGGTATTATCATTACAACTATACTTGTGTGGTCACCTATATAGTCTGACCCGGAGGTTAAAAGTTATGTTCTATAGCAATCAATTGTTTGCTCAAGTGGGAGGATGTTAGAATAATTCTATTATGTGGGCTTTCATTTGATTGCGAATCTTACGGGCTAAATGAATGGTTTACAATGATACTGTAATTGGGCCCAAGTGATCGTTAGTGACCACTTGGGCCGTTGTACACCTTACGGACTTTATTATTATAATGTGCTAATTTTAAGTATGTGAGCCGAAATTATATAAATCCTAATTAAGTTTAGAGTTGGTAATGGGCTGGCTTTATGATTTCCTATATAGTGATTAGGTCTACTCTCCTCTCCATATCATTTATTGGCTTGCCCCATTGACAACTGATTATTTTGAGTAGTATAGAGAGGAAGATCTAGTCGATAATATTCATAATAATGTCTTCCACATGTATGAATTTCGAACAATAAATTACTATATCTGATTCTTATTCTTATCGTGATCAAAATAATTACAACATTATTAACGTCTAATATTATCTTCAAGTGACGTGACTTTTGAGCCATCCATCTATTTGAATAAAATTTCCCATTTCATTCCCATGTACTGTCATTCTCAATTTTGTAATCGGAGCACAGAATGACGAAGAAAGCCACCAAGGATGAGTACTGGAATGGGAAAGGTAGTGTGCGTAACAGGAGCTTCTGGATACACTGTTTCATGGTTGGTGAAGCTTTTACTTGACCGAGGTTACAATGTTATAGCCGCAGTTAGCTACCTCAGTCAGGCCCCCCCTCTCTCTGAAACCCACATTTCATACGTAATGATAGACATTAGTATGGATTGTTTGGAGCTTTGATTTACAAATTGCATCCTGTATATGAATAGATTCTTCATTTTGCATTCCTATATGAAATTCGCAGATTTATTGCTTTGGGAACCTTGTGTTGAAAGTTAGCCTTTTCTAGATTTGTTGAGTTTTGCCTAGCAAGATGGCTGCAGCCCTGGTGCCTAATTTGTGTTCAAGTTTTTCAGAATTTTCCTGGTATGTTTGGCAGAGTTCTCTGGACATTGACCAATCGACAAACTATGTGCAGTCTATCTATTTTAATAACCTAAAATCTTATCTATTATCCAGCATGGGTGATGCTAGCGGTACTCGGGGTGTACATTGGGGGTTAAACCCCTCTCACATGGGGGGTGAGACCCCGCTTGAATAAAAAAATATTATTCAAGCGGGTCCCACCCCCGTGTGAGGGGGGTGTAACCCTTTATGTACACCACTTGATATACAAATGGAATTACCCATCCAACATACTTTGGGGGCGATACAGACAGAATTAGTCTACTTTGCCAGAGAATTTTTGACATTCTCCTTGACAGATGTGTAGGTGGATGGAAATAATTGGATGAAAATGATGATTCTATTTAAAATTAAATAGTCGAATGATATAATGTTATGTTAACCTATCTATCAATGAGGTGGGCAATATAACATGACCGTTACAAACACGACTGAACTGTACAAAAAACAAGTTTTTAGTAAATTAATATCTTTCTTAGTATTGTGTAAAGTTTTGCAAAGTTCCAGTATCACCTACATAAATTATAGAGATAATTACCAAAAACCAGCTCTTTAGTTTCAACTTTATGAAAATCAGGTTTTATCTTTTTTTTTTAATTAATATTGATATTATAAAATTAAAATAACATATATACCCACCCTAACCCCACCAAATTTATTTTAAATATAAAACCTATATATATCCAAACCCTAACCTATCCAATTCATTCTTCACCTCTTACCTGCCACCTCCACATCTACCCCTCTCCACCGCCGCCATCGCCACCTCCTCCATCCCCCTCTGCTGTGAATCGCAGCAGCGTTACAGTGACGCTGCTTTCGTTCAGCAGCGCAGCGACGCTACTGAACGGCAACCTTCCCTCCCCCTCTCCCACTATGGTTGTGATTTTGCGGTGGTGATTTTGTTTTTTTTAGTGGTGCGGTGGCGTAGTAGTGGGTGTGTGGTAGAGGTGCTGTGGGTCTTCGATGCGGCGGTTTACGGTGGTTTTTCAATTGTGGTGTGTCAATCTCTGTGTGTGTGGTTGTTGTTGGTGGTTAGTTGTCGTTGGTGTTATTATTGGTTGTTGGCCGGTGGTCGGGCCAATGGAGGTGGCGGCGGAGGCGGAGTCGGGCAGATTGGACGAAGAGTTTCTGTGACCAACTATTTGGTCCATCTGTGACCAATTATTGGTGGCGCTCCGGGTGGCTGGGACGAAGAGTTTCTGTGACCAACTATTTGGTCGATTTGTGACCAAGTATTGGTGGTGTTTTGGGATTGGGGGACGGGTGTTTGGGTGTATATGACCAACTATATTGATATTTGGCCAAGTATTGGTGGTGTAGTGGGATTGGGGGACATGTATTTAGGTGTATGTGACAACTATATAGTTCTCTGTGGCAAATTATTTAACTGTGACTTTAAAATTTGTTATTCTGTGACTCAAAATATAATATGTGACTAACAAATTTTCTTAATTTGTGACCAATTTAAAATCTGTGACCTATAAATTTTTTCAATTGTGGCCTTAAAATTATCTGTGACCAATTAGTTTGATAACTTATGACTGAAAATTAAAATTTTAACTATATCTGTGACCTTGGAATCGGAGCAGTTACCGAAATTAAGCGGTGGCCAACAGTCACCGAAAAATAGTCGCTGAAATTAAGCGCGGTCGGAGAACAATCGCGCGATCGCCGGAGTAGTTGCCGGAGCAGTGGAGATGCTGGTGGAGGTAGGGTGGAGTGGGTCAATGGGGTGGGTCAATTATATAAATATTATATTACAGTTAAATATTTAATTTAATAGATTAATTGTAAAATATAATTAATTAATTCATGGAAAAACCTGAGTTTTGTAAATTTAAACTTTGGGGCCTGATTTTTGATTTCGTGAAATTTTTTCAATTGTGACCTTAAAATAATCCGTAATCAATTAATTTGATAAGTTGTGATCGAAAATTAAATTTTTAACTGTATCTGTGACCTAATAATTGGAGCAATTACATGAATTAAATGGTGAGCAACAATAACAGGAAAATAGTCGCGGGAATTTAGCGCGGCCAGAGAACTGTCGACGGTCGCCGGAGAGTCGTCGGAGCAATGGAGGTGGAGGGGAGGTAGGGTGGAATGGGTCGGTGGGGTGGGTCAATTATATAAATATTATATTATAGTTAAATATTTAATTTAATAGATTAATTGTAAAAATATAATTAATTAATTCGTGGAAAAACCTGAGTTTTATAAATTTAAACCTTGGGGCCTAATTTTTGATTTCGTGAAAGATAATCCCTGACCTATGAATTTTTCCCTAAAATATGTCATACAAAGTGCCATTAATTCTGCATTTTTAACCTGAAAAATAGCATTATGCACTCTTGTCAAAATTGGCTTGTCCTATTTCACATATTTTGTCTCTTATGTGGAGAGAGTCTTTGTTAGATTTGTCAAGTTTTCGTAAGGCAAGATGGTTGGCAAGGGTGCGAAATTGTCATCTAGAAAATGTTAGAATTCGGGCGTGACCCGAATTCTATGTTGAAGATAATTGAGAATTCTAATTAAAGTGCACGTTAAGAGGAAATTTGTTTGGAATTCTATTTGGTGAATTCTTGTTGAAGTTTTATTTGGAAATCCAATTGAGAGTTGGAATTTATGTTGGACTTGAAGAGGATATTAGGATGAAAAAATTAAGTTTTGAAGTAAAGGACCCGAGAATTGGTGCTGTGTTGCCGGGAGGTTTTTCGGCCCTGTGTTTCAGCGTCACCTGGGCTGTATTTGCTTTGCGCGATTTTTCCTCCTCTACTCTGTTTTGGACTCCGTTTCTTGCATTTTACTTGAACTACAACTTTACTAGTAGGATTTGGACGTCCCTTATGCGTTCCATATATATTTGGCTTTTCATTATGTTTAGATCAAGTTAGAAACATTGCAAATACAAAATCTTTGTATTCTTTTTCCATATTATAATAAAATCTCAATTCTCTGAAAATGAACTGAGAGTTCATGGATAGACCGATGCTAACTTCTAGTCAAACTAGAATAATAGCATATCTCAAATAGGATATTAGTTTACTCTTAAGCGGTGTGTTGGAAATGTTCCAAATAGGAAATAACCGTTGATTCAATAATGGAAGCCTTATACATCATTACTTTATAAAGCAACAAAAGTTGTGGTCTGGATCAGGAAGTTCATTAATGAACTTAGAGTAGTTCCTAACATTGTTGATCACACGCTTCTGCATTGTGATAACAATGGAGCCATAGTGCAAGCGAAGGAACTAAGGTCTCATCAATGATCTAAACATGTGTTAAGACGGTATTATCTTATCGGAAAGATAATTAATTGAAATGACGTAAAGAAAAAACGAATTCCCACAAGTTATTAAATTGCAGATCCACTGACAAAGAGTTGTCGTCGGATAAACATGATCGTCATGTAGACTCTTATGGTATATGATACATAAGTGATTGGATCTAGTGCAAGTGAGAGTTTGTAAGTGTTATGCCCTAGGTCCAATCAATTTTGGACATAAACACTTT